GAGATGAAGAGATGGATGAGTGGCTATATGGATGGATAGAATGATAGAGTTATAGATAGGTGGATAGATGTATGGATAGAAAGATATACTTATAGATAGGTGGATAGATGGAAATATATTGAAATGGAGAGACGGATTGCTTGAGAGTGAGATAGCCAAGTTGCAAAAGATCAAGAAACGGAAGGCAAGATGAAGAGATGGAGAGAAGGATAGCTTGATGGATGGATAAATGAACCGATGGACAGATGGACAGATGGATAAAAAGATAGAGAAATAGATTGGTGAATAGATGGAGACTTAAAGATATTGAGAGTTAGTTTGCAAAATGGCGAAAGAGCGAGATGAAGAGATGGATGTGTGGCTATATAGATGGATAAAAAGATAGATATATAGAAAGTTAGAAAGATGGAAATATGTAGATATAGATAGATGGAGAGATGGATTGCTTGATAGTGAGATGGCCAAGTTGCGAAAGGTCAAGTAATCAAAGGCAAGATGAAGAGATGGAGAGAAGGATAGCTTGATGGATAGATAAATGAACGGATGGACAGATGGACAGATGGATATAATAATAGAGAAATAAATTGATCAATAGATGGCAAAATGTATAAATGGAGATTTGAAGAGAAGGAAAGCGATATGGCCAAATGACGAAAGAGCGAGATGAAGAGTTGGATGTATGGCTATATAGATGGATAGAAATATATAGATTTAGATAGGTGAATATAGAGAAAAATGTACAGATAGATAAATAAAGAAACGGATTGGTTGAGAGTGAGATGACCAACTTGCGAAAGATCTAAAAAGGTAAGGCAAGATGAAGAGATGGAAAGAAGAATAGCTTGATGGATGGATCAATGAACCAATGGACGGATGGACAGATGGATAAGAACATAGAAAAATAGATTGATGAATAGATGGCAAAAGTATAGATGGAGAGTTGGAGAGAAGGAGATCGAGATGGCAAAATGGCGAAAGAGCGAGATGAAGAGATGGATGTGTGGCTATATGGATGGATAGAGAGATAGATATATAGATATGTGGGTGAATAGATGGAAATATGTAGAGATAAATAGATGGAGAGACGGATTGGTTGAGAGGGAGATGGCCAAGTTGCAAATGATCAAGAAAGCAAAGGCAAGATGAAGAGATGGAGAGAAGGATAACTTGATGGATGGATAAATGAACCGATAGACGGATGGACAGATTGATAGAAAGATTGAGAAATAGATTGATGAATAGATGGAAACTTAAAGAGATTGAGAGTTAGTTGGCAAAATGGCGAAAGAGCAAGATGAAGAGATAGATGAGTAGCTATATAGATAGATAGAGAAATAGATATATAGATATGTGGATAGATGGAAATATGTAGAGATAGATAGATGGAGAGACGATTTAATTGAGAGTGAGGTGGCCAAGTTGCGAAAGATCAAGAAAGCAAAGGCAAGATGAAGAGATGGAGAGAAGGATAGCTTGATGGATAGATAAATGAACCGATGGACAGATGAATAAAAAGATTGAGAAATAGATTGATGAATAGATGGAAACTTAAAGAGATTGAGAGTTGGCAAAATGGCGAAAGAGCAAGATGAAGAGATGGATGTGTAGCTATCTAGATGGATAGAGAGATAGATATATAGATATGTGGATAGATGGAAATATGTAGAGATAGCTAGATGGAGAGACGGATTGGTTGAGAGTGAGATGGCCAAGTTGCGAAAGATCAAGAAAGCAAAGGCAAGATGAAGAGATGGAGAGAAGGATAGCTTGATGGA